CCCCCCCCCCCTCCCGCGGCGTCCCCGAGCGCTGCGGCGGCAAACGCGGCCATTGCGGCCGAGGAGGCTGGCGGGAGGCGGGGGGCGAGGGGGGAAGACTGCAGGAGCTCGGCGATGCTGGCGCTATCCGCGGGTGACAGTCCCGCCGTGGTCGCACTGGTTGGTGATTGCAGGGCAGGGGGGAGGTGAGTTGGTGGTTAGATCATTCAACACACGTCCTCTCGACAAGACGGGGCATCGTTCGCAGGGGGGGTTATATGGTGGGCTTTGGTGGCATGGCGATGAAACCGAAACCACCCAAGTAGAGACAAGAGACAAAGACGTACAGAGTGACAGCGAGAGAGACGCACAGAGTGACAGAGAGAGACACACACAACTTGGGCAACAAGCGGCAGGAACCACGCGAGTAAGCACCGTTCGCGGGAGAAGGGAGATAACCGCGGGCGACGCGGGGGGGAAATGCTGCACCCTCCTCGTCCAAACACCACAGGCAAGCACCGAGCCCTGCAAAGATGGATCGATGCGAAGAAACTCGCCGCTCGGATTAAACGGAAGAAAACCCCCCCCCCCCAGCGCGAGGCGGACCGCTCGGCGTCAACCCCACAACACCATATCCTCGTGCGCGCCGCCCCGCGCTCATGTGCGCAATTGTAGTACCCACCTCGAGGGTGGCCGGTTGGGAGACAGCGGATGCTTCGTGTTGGGCGTCAAGGGCCCCCCGCCGACACCGCCCGCGGAGAAGCCGCCAGCTCCCCCCCCCCCGCCTTCCCTCTCCAGGTTGCGCTCCAGAGTGCTGAATCGGGACGGAGAGCGTGATGCGGGAGAGCGTGATCTCACAGGGCTCCCGCCCGCGCCGCTGCTTGTGACAAACGAGCACGTCGGGGGGGGGGTCAGGAGATGTGCGCCGCACACGAAACAGCTCCTCTCGGCAGCAAGATTTCCACCGAATACCTTCTTACCACCATCAAGACCGAAATATAAATAGCTCCGAGCATCTTACCGTACGCACAAAGGCCGAGGCGGGTTACCGTTCGCCTCCGTTCACGAGTGTTCGATTCGGCGGAACCCCCCCCTTGGTGCAACCGATTCTTTTTTCCATGGACTGGTGTACTCAAGTTTAGCCGGGGGTTTCATCTAATATAGTGTGCGATCAAAGGAAAGCTGCTTGGCGCATCGATAGGGCTGATATGGGTGGAGGTGATGTGCCGCCGAGAGGATCAAAACCTCTGGCTTGGGTGCAAAAAAGACACATGAATAGCAACGAAGGCAGCAGCAGTAGCAGTAGCAGCAGCAGCAGTAGCAGCAGCAGTAGCAGCAATGAACACGAGCGTCATCCAACAACCGCAGCGGTCGACGGACAGACGTCGCAGCCGCAGCAAACAACAACACCTATTTCCCCGTGAGAGCAATAAAAGCGACGTAAGACCGCAGCCACCCAACAAGCAGAACAACAGCTACATCCGCAGACAGACAGAAAACAGACGCCGCAGCAGCAACAACAACAACCGCCTCTATTTACCTGCGACAAAGACGACGAGAGACACACAACGAGCACAGAAAACAACACCGACAGAAAGACGCCGCAGTCGCGACAAACAACAAGACGCATTTACCTGTGAGTGATGCCCCTTGATTTCGTTCCCCTAGGGGTTGTGTTGGCCGATCCCGCCGGGGAAGAGACGTTGGACAGCTTCCCTCCCCCCCTCAGCTGGTTCACGGCGTTCCGGCGATCAAGGTCGTCGATAAACCTTTCNGTCACACCTTCTGAGGGGGGGGGGAGGGCTCACACTCAAAACTTGTGACAGGGGAGGGGAGGGGGGGGGGGGTACACAGCCAAACATTAAAGGAAATGTGTGGCGCTTGCACGATTCTTGACTTGGCGTGTTTTTTGTTCCTGAGATTACGGCAGGAAACATGCGGAAAATGGCGGAACTGTCAGGAGAGAGAACGACGACGACGAACACAATACGCGAAGGGGGCCGAAACGAACAAAAACCGGAACACACGCTTCTCTCCATCTGCTACCGCGTCTCTGCGTAATCCAGATCATGGCCTTTAGAACAAGCATCTTCTGTTCTCAGCCGCGCTGAGGCTGGCGTATGTTTTGTGGCCAGTCGGTTTGCGTCGATGCAAACAAGGAAACTGTAGGAAACACGGGGAAACATCACCAGGGGGAACGACCGCAACATCCGCAAAGGCGCTAGGGTAGCCTCGTGCCACCACCCATACCGGTTGGAGTAGGCAGTCGGAGCATCCTCTCTCGCTCCTTCCTTGACGCCGCCGGGGGGGGAACCCGCCTTCCCCTCCTTGCCGCCGCTCTCCGCTACACCGTGGACCAGACAAACGGCGCTCCGCACGAAGCCCTTGAGGTCGTCCACCAGCACGCTCTCGTTCGCCGAGCCTCCCTTGGACTTGGGGGGCGTCGGTGGCACGTCGTCGGTAGTGGGAGGAACGTCGGTAGCGGGAGGCGGGGGGGGAGGGGG